TTTAAAAGGTACTTTAGCATGGTGGCACACAACACTTAGGAGGCAGAGGCAGGCAGATCTCTGTGAGTTCAAGGCCAGCCTGGTCTACATAGTGAGTTCCAGGACAGCTGGGGTTACAGGGAAACCTTCTTTCAAAGAGACCAAAAAAAAAGAAGAAGAAGAAGGTACTTTAAGCCAGACATAGTGGCGAGTGCCTGTAATCTTAGCACTCAGCAGACAGAGAGTAGGGGAATCAGGAGTTCAAGACCAGTCTCAGCCATGTCTCAAAAACAAAAGCTTCTTAAGACCAACCGACCTCTTCACATCACTTTCCTTACTGTGTTGGATGTAGAAATTTGTATCATCTCTTTACTCAAAGCGCATGCCTAAACAGAAAGGAGACACTGTTCATCAGACGTATTTGATTTGTTTAGTTTGTTTTTGTTGGTCTCATTTTGTTTCATTTGAAACATGGTCTCACTATATAGCACAGGTTGACCTCAAACTCTCAATCCTCTTGCCTCAGTCTCCCAAGTGCTAAGATTACAGGTATATACTACCATGCCTGGCTTCTTTTGATTTATTTATTTGGCTTCATTGATTTATCTCACAATATTTTATGCAAAACTCTCATAATATAAAATATTAATATATTCTATTAGATCTGAGATCTTCAAACTGAATATGCAAAAATATCACCCGATAGGCTTAATATAAGGAACCAACACCTAGAAATTTTGAGTTCATATATCCTTATATCTGTACTAGGAAGCATGTTTTATTATTATCTCCATTATATAGATAGGAAAACTAAGTTCAGAAAGGTACAGCACTTTGCTTAGCATTACTCAGATAGCAGGTAGCAGAGCCAGAAGCAAAACTGCCAGTCAAGCATGGTGACTTATGCTTGTCATCCCAGCACTCAGGAGGTAAAGGCAGGCAGATCTCTGTGAGTTCAAGGCCAGACTGGTCTACATAGTGAGTTACAGGCCAGCCCCACTACAGAGAGACTCTGTTTCAAAAACACCAAAGGGGAAAAAAAAAAAAAAAAAAAAAAAAAAAAAAAAAAAAAAAAAAAACTAAAAGAAAAGAAAAGAAAAGAAAAGAAAAGAAAAAAGAAAAGAAAAGAAAAGAACCCATTAGACTTGAATCTGGGTGGGGCTTGTAGAGGACAGAGAGGTTTTCACAATTAAGTTTCAGGAAACAGAAAGCTCTCTAATCAATTTTTCTGAAAGAAAGGCACACTGAGCTCTTCCTTAAAGAAACCTGAGAACCTTAGGAGATTTGCATTTAAAAAACTCCACAAATATCTCCAGACTTGTTCAGAGCCTTGTATTAACTTGACTATCCACAGCCGCTCCACCCCAGAGAATTGTTCTGCCAGGCATGCATCGCAGGATCACGTTGAGATCAGAGCTGGTGCAATCTTGCATTTGTGCATATCTTAAATCCCTGCAGTGTAGTAAGCCAGAACAGATATGCATACACAGCTTTTCTCCTTAGTTCAGTTCCCACCAACACAGGCTTCTGAGAATATGTTTCCCCTCCCTGAGAAATCATGCAACTCTCCTATCCCAGCCCACATGAGCCTCTACATAAAGCAAATCTGAATGCCTCTCATTATGTTCCCACCCCCAGTTCTATCTGGAGAACCCCTGAGAACAAACCGAGTTCTTCCAGCCATTCCAAGCCAGCGTGGACATGGCCCACCTGCTGAAGAGATTGAGAGGTCTGCCAATCCCACCCAAGATGCAAACTAACTACATCTGCTCTCTGTGGAAATATAGAAGATATTTATTTTTCAACTCTGAGGGTGAGATTATTCTAGTTTATATGAACAAAGACTTAATTTAGTAAGCTGCATTCTACAAGCCATTCACAGTTTTATAATGAGATTCCTTAGTCCAAATAAATAAACACTTAGAATATTTGAGAGTGCAGATATTACTAAGGCTGTGGGTTCTTGTGACCCTCCCCCCCACCCCCTACACACACCATAATTTAAAAACAAAATATATTATTGGCAAGAGAATTTAGGTGTATTTCATTTGTTTTTGTGGCATGTTTGCTCTTTTGCCCATTTATTTCTTTGATGATTTTACGGTTTTTTCAAGTGTATGCTTTGCTGAATAAAAGAATTAAGAAACATGCAATCCTAGACTTGTTCTTTACATTTATTTTCATTCTACCTTGGGCTGACAAAAATTAATTCAAATTCATAATAAATTCCTAGCCATAATCTATGGCTTTTAAATGCACAATCTTCTGCAAAAATATTTTCTAATATTGTCAGTTCCTGGCTAAAACCCAAATCACTTGACAGTATTTCTGTCTTTTCTTGTTTATTTGATTATTTCCACCTTCTGTTGTTTTCAGATACATTTCATTCAATAATGAGAAGGTCATGAGAGTTGGCAAGGTGTAAATCCTGGCCTAACAGAATTTCTCACATATTCCTCAAATACTCTATATATTTAACTATGTTTTTTTTTCCTGTGTCAAAATAATGCTCTCAGCCTACTCACAATTTTCCCCAAATTCTGAAAGACTACTAGCGAATGCATATCGCTTAACCGAGATGACCACATGGTATTTAGATTAACTTCAGCTAAAGACCTCCTGCAAAGTTTAAGACTTAGCCATATAAGACGATGCTCACTCCATGTTATCTCTGAGTCTGCATATTTTGTAAATATGTCAGGTATAGGGACTGGAGAGATGGCTTAGTGGTTAAGAACACTGACCGCTCTTGCAGAGGACCCAGGTTCAATTCCCAGCACCCACATGGCAGCTAACAACTGTTTATAACTACAGTTCCAGGGGAATTTGATGCTCTCTTTTAACTTCTGCTGACAAGGGTACACTTACCTACATGCAGGCAATACACTCATACACAAAAAGTAAAAATAATAAATAAAAATTATTTTTAAACAATTTTTAAAAATATGTCAAGCATAACATTTACTACTTTATTAGGATTATTCTTTAGAGAAAGTAGACTGAAGGAAACAGAAAGCTCTCTAATCAATTTTGCTCAAAGAAGAAGGGCACAGAACCTTCCTCTTAGGGCATAGTACATGGAACAAAGTAACATAGTACTCAAACATTTAATTGTTTTCAGGAAGGAAGTGGAGAGGCAGGGAGAGAGTTGTAAGAAGTGATCATGAAGAGATCAGAACCCCATCCTGATAAGGATGGTTGTCTGTACCACAGGCTATAAAAGAGAAGCCTATGGCTCAGCCTCCTGCACTGAACAGTCGGACATAGATTCTGAAGGTTTTTTTTGTTTTGTTTTGTTTTGTGTTTTTGCTGTTCTGTTTTTGGACCCTTTTATCTTTGAAGTGTAAGTCTTTGTAAGCCTCAGACTGTTAATTTGTTCAGTGTGTCACCGGGCTAATTTTGCATCCATATTCACCCATGAGCTTGCCCTGTACTGCCTGATTAGTCGATAGGCTAGCTTCTGCTTCAGTAAAAACCTCAAAGTCTCATTGGTCAATGCAATTTGTTCCTCATCCACAATACCTGTCCCACAACAGCTGGTAGAGTTGGCTGTTGCAGATTCCATCTCAACATGGGTTTCCGTGATCAAAGCAGAGGAAATGAGACATGAGTCACCATTTCCTCTCACGTTTCCTTTGCCAAATCAAATCTTGTGGCCATGACTAACTTCAAACAGGGAGAAGCACAGAAATGCAATACCTCTGTGCACCTAGAAAAGGGAGAATTAAAATATTAACAAATTATCATAACAATTACTATGCTAATTGTTATGGACTAAACCCCTCCACTAAGTGCCTAAGAGGTCAAAGCAATTTTTTTTGATGCATTCAGGTATAGGGAAACCCACCTTCCCCTAACATCTGAATCAATTTTGGCACACATAAATGCAAAGACTTTCCAGCATTGAGCCTTTCCATTCAATTTTGTTTTGGAATTATTTTGTTAGCTAAAGAAATGATATGCTACTTACCACCATCCCTTCAAATAGAGCAGCCATCCCTTTGCCATAAGCTAAAGTTGTTTATGGGGCAGATTTATCCTTGGCTAATATTGAACTGATAAAATCAGATATTGAGCACTATAGTTTGAGTCTTAAATGGTTTCTGAAGGACTGGTTGTTAAAGACTCATCTCCAGTTTGGTGCTATTGGGAAGTAGTGGAACCTGAAAGGGATAGGGCCCAATGGAAGGTCATTAGCCCTGAAGGGGACAGTGGGACCATGGCTCTATTCTCTCACTCTTCCTCCATCCATGTACTCCTGACCATGATGTGCTGCCTCCTATAAACCGAAAATCAACAAGGGACTGAAACTCCAAAACTACAAGTCAAAATAAAGTTTTCCTCTTTATAATCGATGGTATAGCTTGTTACAGTCATGGGAAGCTGACTAACACATGAAGAATCCACCAGTTAGGGCTGGGGTTGAATCCAGTGGTAGAATACCTGCCTCCTACACATGAGGCCATGTATTCACTCCCCAGAACCAGGGGTTTAAAAAAATTCACCAATTACATTTTTAAAAAGTTTCAGGCAGTCTTTTCTCCTAAATTAGTATTTGTTGTTTTCTCACATTTCCCTTCATTGCTAAACATATATCATTTTTGTACATGTATAAACATATTCTCTCATTTGAATCATTATCAACTAGTAAGATTGGCCCAGTCCTCTCTCTCCCCATCTCCTCATTTAACAGACAAGTAATATGAGGCAGAAAGAGAAGTTAAGTAATTTACCCTAAATCATATGGCCAATCAAAAGCAGAACTGGGTTTAAAAAGGTTTTTTATTCAATAATCCACATACAGAATGCCCAAACTGTCATTTTCCTGTTCCAGAAAATCCATTCTCATTTCACAGCAGTAAGTAAGCCTTTGTCAAAGCCTTTCCTGATTTTTATGCATCCTCTGTCCATTTGGACATGCAAAGTGGAGCTGCTGTCATTTATCTGGGGAAGAAGGCAGCAACCAGTACTTTGTGCTGGACCGTTAGGGCTGTTAGAAGTCATGGTTATTTACTTCCCCCATATTTTTCAGTCCCCTGTGGAAATCACCTGGCTTACACAGTGTCATTTCTCCCAGTAAACATGTAACTCATTGTTCTCATCTTCCTGGAATTAAGCCAGTATAAATAGATTCTGTGGCTCCAGCTTATCATTCCTTCAACCCTACCAAAGCATAGCTTGACGTTCAATATGATTTTAGAAAATCCCACCAAATAACTTATTAGAAATACCATGACTTCCAGGAAGGCATAACCATTCATTTTGTTTTTGCCTCTGTTCTCTGAATTAACCAATGCTTGTCTCCAAGCAAATGCCTCCTGGTGTTCAAAAGGTAATCTTGAAGACAACCCTTTAAATCCACTGTCTTAGTTTGTTCTTCATTGCTGTGACAAAATACTCTGACCAATACCAACTTGGGGAGGAAAGGGTTTATTTGTCTTATATCTCCCAGGTCGCATGCAGTTCATCAGGGAGCCCAAGGTAGGAACTCAGGGTAGGAACCTGGAGGCAGGAGCTGGAGCACAGGCCATGGAGGAACGCTGCTTACTGGCTTGCTCCCCTGGCCCCTGCTCAGCCTGCTTTCTTATGCAACACAGGCCCACCTGCCCAGGGCTGGCACCACCCACAGTGGGCTGGGCCCTCCCACATCACTCATCAAGAAAATGCCCCACAGACATGGCCACAGGCCAGTCCAATAGAGGTAATTCCCCAATTGAGGCTCCCTCAACCCAGGTGTGTCAAGTTGACACTAAAGCTAGCCAGCACATCCACCATAAGTTTAGAATAGATAACTAAGAAAAATCATATTTGACCTTATCATAAAACATAATACCCAAGTGAAAAACTAAATTAACAAAGGAACATAGTAACAGCTCTTGTACAGAGAGAACTAGTCTCTTACTGTGTGTGTCGGGGGGAGATAACATTTAAAGTCAAGAAATTAAGTCAAAATTGTATAGTTTATAGACATTGACATTAAACTATTAATCCTTACAAATAAAGTCTGTCAAAAAGTGTATGTTTGCAACTTTAGTGGTAGAATGGTTGCCTTGCATGTGCAAGGCCCTAGGTTAGATCCCCAACACCAAAAAAGAAGCCACAAAAGAAAAACCTACAGCCTTTCAAAGTAAACACCTTCCATCTTGACCTTAGTCCTAGTATATAACCCCTGTTTTCTTAGGTAGTTAAATGAGTTTCAGAACATATACAGAAGTCAAATCTGGGAAATCAATGAGTAAATTGTATCAAAAGCTAAAGAGTTTCCAATCAACAGGTTACATCACACAGTTGTGACTAGGAGCATAAAGGAAGTTTTCACACAGATATTTGAAAAACAGGAAATAAGCTGTTGATCATTAAACCCCTAGTTTAAAAAAATTATTAATGATGAAACTAATGATCTATAGACTACAAACAGTGAGCGCACAAGAAAGCCAGCCAGTCCTTCATGAGGATGAAGTAGAAGCTGACTGGTTGACATCAAACATTGGAAGCTGGTTTGGGAAGACTGAGGCTGGCTGTAAGATAAGGCAGAAGCAGAACGTATTAGAATATAATTTACCCCACATGGACAGAGAATCTGCGAAGCAAATGCAGAAGCAATCAGAGAACCAATATTTCTGGTGCAGTGAGAGTGGACCTGGACCAGAGTCAGAATAGTGAATGTGTAACCAGAAGTTTTAGAGTAAAAGCCTGGGCTCCAGCAACCCCAACAAGCAAGGTTTGGTCACCCATCCCAATTAAAGAGACAAGTAATGGTGAAATTCACTGAAAGGAAAAGATAAAGGGGTCCAGGATTCCCAAGTCCATCTTTGGGGCATTGATATGAGCTTTAGGTTTCAATAGAGGAAGAATTGGGGGCAGGGACAAGAGATATGTATAGTTAAGGTTGCATAGGGCAGATTAGATTGTACTTGACCCCACATGAGTGGAGAATCTCAGAAGTGAATGTGGATGCAAACAAATAACCATAGTTAAGCAATCCTAGTCAAGATGTCGTCTCATTGATCATTGTCTCCAGGGATCCACAAGGTGGCCAGAAAAAAAGCCCTGTTACTTGTAGGAGGGGGTGAAGG